CTTTGTTCTTGTTCTTTTTTTTCTTCCAAATTTCCCCTGGTCCTCGAATTCATCTCTGCCTCACTGTTTGCTTGTCTCCCAAGACCCCCCCCCCCCACACACACACACACACACACACACACACTCAGCCCACAGTTTGATTTTTATCGCACTGTCTGCTTCACTTATCTGCCTCTATTTATTTGCAGGTATCTCTGCTGTGAGACCCAGTCAGAAATGAGGGAGTGGTATGCTACATTTCTCAGTATTCAGGTATGTCCCTCCCTGAACACCTGCTGAGAGGTGGAAAATTTGTAATAAATCATTTAGATGTGTTATGATTTGTTTTATTTCTTTTGTTGTTATTTGTGAAAACTGTGAATTTCTTGTAAAAACCAAGCAGCGATGCAGAAGTTTTAGAAACTGTAATAAAGAAAGTAAATAAAACAGCACTACTGAAATCAGTAATCCTCACCAGGACCATGTTAAATGATTTAAATAGCTTCCTCACAGTGTAGTAGTATTGCATTATATTGTAGTATCGTAACATGTCTGTCTTCTCTCCTCTCGGTTTCCCCTCCTTGGTAAAGTACGACGGTAACGTGTGGCCTCAGGATGGACTCCAGCACAAGCGCGTGAGTCGTGAGTTGCCAGACACACGTCATGGTAACGTGTCACTGATACCACTGCGTGGCAGTGAGAATGAGATGCGGAACAGCGTTGCAGCTTTCAGCCAAGACCAGCTTGCTGTGAGTCAATCTACCAATCACTGGGAGTAATCTAGGACGAACCAGGCAGCTCACTGCAAAGCTGCCCAGTTAATCAGAGACTTTGATGCTGCGCAGGTGGTCCAGACCCCTCAACCATGAGCCGAATCAAAGAGCAGTGCAAATTTGCGCACATCCTATACCAATTTTGCACTTTGCGAGTCTGATTTCTATTCAGAATAGAATACATCGGATTGTGCATGAAATCAAGCGTTCAGTCTCCTGAGGCAGAACTTTTCATGCTCAATTTTTCTCTTTGTTAACCTTTCAGTAAAGTTTGAGGGATTCACCTGTGCAGGATCAATAATCTCTGTTTCATGATTTGTCTGTGATTTAACAATCGTTGCAGGATCTGGGTTCTTAAAATATTAAACTAATCAATTAAATATATTATGAAATGCAATCTCATGTGGTTTCACGAGCTGCGAAGATGATAAATGATTTGTGTTCAACCAAAACAAAAAAATGTTTTAAGAATCCAGACTGTGTGCAGAGCCTTAGACGATTTTTTTATTTTATTTTTTGATTGAGCCAGACTTATCCTGGTGAAGCTCTGCCAAAGCCTGCTTCAGAGCACTAAAGACACAAACAATAACACATTCAGAGAGAGCTCATGCTTGCAGGCAAACTATACTTTCACAGCACTGGTGTCTCATCAGCTCACAGAATTGTATTCTTGGCATGAACAAACATCACCTTAGTTCGCCGGACTATATTTTTAAGCTCTCTGACACTGAACCAGACCTGCTTAGCAGCATCAATATTGTGTTCATGCAGCCATCCTAAACCCCTCCGCCCTGTGCTCAGTCGTTGGTGCAGAACAGAACGTCGACAATCTGATGATGCAGTTGTCTCCTCCTGCTCTTTTCTTGTTATCACAAACCGCTCAATATTTTGCTGCAGATTGCAGCAGCACATAAAAATTCATCTCAGCCTGCTGTAACTTCCACCGGCAATAGCCTGATTTCAGCGTTGCTGTGTTGTTGCCTGCCGCATATTTTCTATTGATTCCTGCCTGTTCAGTGTATCGACATGATGTTGGAGTGTGAGAAGAGGCGTGATTGCTGTGGTGATAGGACCACAGAGGATGAGAGAGAGAGTGCGAGTGTGTTAGTAGTTGAGAAGAGATTCACTGCATGTCGATATGTCCAATTTTCGATGTGAAGTGAAAGAGTAAATCTGGTACACAGATTGTGTGTGTGTTTGTTTGTGTGTGTGTCTGTTTGTCTATAAAATGGGCTCTTCTGGCAGTCATTTAACCCTTTCTACACAGTTTTTCCATTTGTATTATTGTAGGGTCTATACCTGACAATGTAAAGCGCCTTGGGGCAACTGTTGTTGTGATTTGGCACTATTTGAATTCAGGTTAATACATTTTTGTCTGTTTTATTGTTCATCAAAAATATGCTTATCTTTCAGTTCCTTAAAGATTTTCGATAATGGTCTCAGTAAGGAAGGTAGGACCATTTTATACACATGAGTTTTTTGGGTTTTTTGGTTGTTGTTGTTGTTTGTTTTTTTATCACACACAAATTCTGTTTTAGTAGCATATTAATTTTGGTCACCCTGAACTGTGTGTCTCCTGTGCATTCAATAGTCTCTGTGCATTTGATCAACCTCACTTGTTGTTGTGCTCGAGTCTCTCAGTACTCAAAGTATTCTGAATATTTTTATTAGTGCATGGGATGCTACATTACCGTCAATTAGCAATTTAGGTTGCTAGGCAATGTGATGGTGTTTGTCATAGTTTGTCATGCATAATTCAGTTTTTGTGGAGATAAAGTAGATGACACCTATCACACCATATTAAAGCTAAAGTGCTTTAATATGGTGTGATAGGTGCAAACTCCTAAAGATGGGCCTAAAGATGTATTCCATTGCTAGATGGTTTGATTATGCTATGTCAGATATTATAGCATAATCAGCATAATGTTATAGCATATATATATATATGTTATGATATATATTATAGCTTGTGTAAAGTCTGGTCAGTCTGGTGGTTGAACTCCTGATGATCGTATAAGGAGACGATCTTGAAGGGAAGAGCGGCCAAATTTAAATCAGGCTCAGCTTTGAGCTGTGGAATTTGTCATTTTGATAACACATCATTGTTTAAGTTACTTATGAGTATTTTCTGTGCCAAGTTTCTGAGATACAGCATGCTTCTGTTTCTTATATTTGGACTTTTCTGACTGAAAATCGAGATATCATAAAGTGTGAGTGAAAGTTAAAGTCTCTCAGTTTAAGCCGATCCCTCGGTTCATCGGTCAGGCTGCATGTCCGTGTTTATATGTACTCTTGACCGGAGCTTATTGAGTCCGCATTTCATGAGCAGCCTCATATCTGGTTGCCATGGCTCCGAGACATCTGTGGTCTGAATGAGAATTTTAAGCTTGACCTCCTGGGGGACTTTTAAAAATGTTGTGAAACTAATTTTAGGTTTAGGGAGAACACTGAAAGCTAGTTTCACTAAGTGAAGCTACAAGTCTTACCAGATGTTTATGAATGAGAAGATCTGCTTGTGATATTTGTTTTCTTTTATTTTGATGAAAGGCTGACTGTCTGAATGTTTTCTTTCAAGGTTGGATCATCGGCCTCATCGGATGTCCCCTAGACATTCCAGTGACGACTTCATTCCCGAGGGGCAGACACTGAGAAAAACACTTATAATGTATGCGGATAATGGCCTTGCACCTCCTTTGAACACGTGCTGGAATGAAAAGAATTCAGCAGACAACAGGATCACACCGCTTTCCGTGCACAGATGAAGTGAATGAAGAGAAACAGTTTGTCAGACCACAGTTTCCCTGAAGAGGCCAGAATCGATTCCAACCTGATTTGCACCTAATGTTTCCACTGGACTCATAAGAGACAAACTTTTATTTCTTTATATATATATATTGGGTTTTTTTTTGGGGGGGGGCACACAAAAGACCAGTAATCCTGGGCACTAGCACAGCGTGGTCTGCAGGTTTTTGTTTTAGACATCAAAAGCTTGACATTGATTTTGCAGCCGAGTCATATTTTTAAACGTTCTGTACTCTTTGCTCAACAAATCATCGGATCAGTGTGCAGTTTAAATTAAGTAATTGTAGCTTTTGTGACGTTGATATCAGAGGACACTGTGACCTGATTTTCTCACTGGAGTTTGTTCCAAGGGGACCAAACTGGACTGAAAAATGACAGGTGATGGATGATGTTAGTCCACGGGACATTGGCCGGTGCTGTGGAAAACCTTAGTCCGAGGTTTTTTTGTGCTTTTTGCCACTTTTGTGCACATGTGCAGCACTGTGCATAGAGTGCGTTTACATGGGGATATGAAGACCTTCAGGGAGTAAAGCAAGGAGAATCTTGTGCTCAAAAAAGGCATTATTTTTTTCTCTTTTTCCTTTATCTTTTCTTCCCATCCTCACAGGCACTGCATCCTCTTTGTAGATGATTTTTTTTTTTAAAATAAATCCTGAGCTACAGAATACAGCACATTAACCAGCAGTATTTATAACGTTTTAGATTATGTGTTAGTCGCTTTTTCAATATCTTGTTTATGCACAGCTTAGAATCTTCGCGGGATCGTGTTTTTTATAGTAAGGAGCACCAAAGTGGTGCTGAATAATCTGTAGGTACAAGAAATGAAGTGCTTTACGATGCTCCGTCATTCCTTCTACATGAATCCAACCTTGTATATATTTAATGTAAAGAAATTAATCTGTCAACAGTTGCCTTACCAGCATCGCTGAGCAATTCCTCGTCGTCGCTTCCTTTTAATGTTCTCACCTGTGGGATTCCCGTAATGTAAAGATTTATTTATTTTGACAGCAGAGGACGCTGTGATGCTGTGTTTTCTCAACCTGAGTTGGTGATGATCTTCATCAACATGTGTAAACACCTTGAAGTTGAGTTCCTGTGAAGAATATGTATTTACAGTAGTGTGCCATTAACTGCCCTCTGACCTCAGCAGGAGTCCTGAAGACTCAACTGTGTAATAGCACGTTGTATACAAAGTATTCACTCTGTACTTCTTAGTGGTTTATTGTTTTACAACATTCATTTAGAGTGGGTGTACTTACTTTCCAAAGGTTCTTGGCGCTGATCGTCAGATTTTAGTTTTCAGGTTTAAAGGTAGCCTGTGTATAAGTTGTAGCTTTCAGGTTCCGGTGTGATCTAACTTAAATAGTCGCTCACACCTGTGTTGCACAAAAAGAATCCCTTTTATGTGATTTCTGGAACACTTAGCTGAAGTATCGATGGGTTAAAATATGCAGGTGATTATTTTAAATGTTTCACATAATGTGGATTTTTTTTTTTTTAATCTCGATCACTCTCATCCTTTTTACATCATTACAATTCAAAGTTGTAAAACAAAAGTCCAACAGAGGCTGTTAGATACTGTTTATAGATGGTGTGTTTCTTTGTCCCTGCCTTTTGTATTCTGTTACTGTGCATTTTACAAATTATTGCATCTCTAAAACTCTAATAAACACATTCTGCTAGTTGCTTGTTTCCTGTGGAACATGCATACTCCTTTTACTCTTGGAAGAAATCTTTCTTCCAGAAGGTTGATGTCCTCCAGCTCTGCTTTGCCCTCATGGTAATCTGCTTGCTTCTTCTGTGCCTTTATACACAGTACAGCACTTCACGGGGTAGCTGTGAAAACATGGGCTCGGATACAGATGCACATACACTTTGGAGAGAAACTTTGGTGAGCCCTGCAGGTTTTATAACGGTGTCATGCTACACTTATAAAAAGGAAGACTATTGATGAGCTCTGAGGAAAAATGTCAGCTGTGTGGGTGTGTGGGGTACAGTGATCATAGGGAGGGCCCTGAGGAAGTTTCCTGCGTGTGTGAGAGGGACTGAGTCACAGTGGTCCACCAGCACTCCAGTGCGCTCTTTTTAAACAGATCTGACACATCAGGGTCACCCTGTACCTCGAGACACACCGGAGAGCCCTGCGAGGGATGTGCACACAGGAGATCTTCAGCAAAACATTCTCAAACACGCACAGGAGGCCTAGCGGGCAAGAACACACACAAGCACAGTGGCCTTTACTATATAGGTCATGACAGCAGTTGCATAAAGCAGAAGGATGGAGACAGATGTTTAGGGGGGGGGAAAGATCATGAATGGGAAACGAGGGTAAGGATAATGGTACTTTGTGTACAAATGAGTGCTTTACAGTTTGAACAAACAGCTGTTGTGCCTTTATGTGAAAAACATCATTTCATGTGGAATAGATATCAGCTGAAATTGAACTAGAGCCTGCCTGTACTTTTGTATAATCCCAGTTTGCATCACAAGATGGTGCAGTGAGTCAGTGTGACCTGTATTTAACCACATGAGTCATTAAGAACAGTTCTACCTACATTGGCGGACTGGGGCGAAAACACACGTCATGGTGAAAGTTCGACTTGAATTCAGCAGTGAAAAAGACGCCTCTAAGCCTTACGCCTCCTCTGAAAAAAAATGTGAAATTCTCACTTGACAAACAATAGAAGGGACAACGGCCTCCCGCAGAAATCTGGACATCCACCTGTGTTTCCTTTATTTCCACTCAGGGCACACAACAACAAGAACAGCGTGAGTGAGTGGAGCCTGAATTGGTTTTCACTGCGTGCTCCACTGCATCGGAAGACAATCAGTGGTGGGTTCGAGTACACAATGGCAGAATTAAAGATTTCTCATTATCTGATTGTTTATCAGAATATATCTCCAAGCGCAAAACTGATTCAGACAACCATGCAGACATAAATCAGGAATGGTAACGTTTGGATTGCACCATTTTCAGTAATTGTGATCAGCAGAATCACGACTGACACATTTGGCTTGCCATTGATTACTGATAGATTTTTCACGCTCCCCCCATATTAACCACAATTATTTGCGATTGTCCACGTGTTCCCAGTGTTTCAAAAAGTGACCTGTGGAATCGGTTTGGCCATAAACTGCAATCTGGGTTTGAGTTTGACTAGAAACGAAAATGCAAAACCCAGTTTCACGTGAATTCTCTGCCATACAGTCAGGTTCTCTGCATTCAACCACAGTGGATTTTCACTCATACAATCAAAACGTGATTGAAGCGCAGATTTTGATCTCTAACTTCAGGATTTTAACAAAAGGTTTACATGAGCTATTTAGGAATTACAGCCATTTTAACACACGGTCTCACATTTTCCGAGGCTTAAACATTCATGAACATCTACAGTAATAATATATTTCTTGCCCACCACTTTAATCACACTCTAGATCTTGTTTTAACATATGGCAT